GCCTGATCGCCCCCAACTGCCCTCCCCTGCCGGCCTGTTGCCCCTAACTGCCTCTGCCTCGTTCCCACCAGCATGGCTTTGTTTGGAAGGACATCCGGAAGGTCTCCTGGTCTAATTAGCATATTACTTTTATTAGTATAGATTATATAATTTATATGTGATATATTATACACTTTAGGATATATTTAATGGGATATATTAGGATCTATTGCCTAAGGAAGTGGAACTTGGATGAAGAGATTTAAGTAATGGGTTGAAGATAACTAGCATTGAGTACCCCAGGAAATATAGGTACATATACACACATATATGCACATACACACAGACAAACATACTCACACCAAGAAATTAACAGGATTCATCTGCATTACTCACAGATTTGAATGTTGAAATGTATTTAATAGTTTGGTAACTAAAAGACTGTGAAAGATCAATTCAAAATCACAATGAATTAAAGAACTATAATTTTTTTGAGATTTGATTATGTTAGGTATCATGAGTCTCTCAGATTAAGCCTTGAAAATGAATATTTTTACCAATTTTATTCATATTGTGTGAATTGTGACATACTTAGTTACATGAAGTAGAAGCCCAACTCTGTAGCTTAAACTTACAACAGCATTTTATTTTCCTCACATAACAAGAAGTGTGAAGGAAGGGAGTCTAGGTCCTTTCTGTCATTTGGCTCCATCATGATCACAGTGAAGTTTTATCTTCATGCTTGCTGAATCATAGAGGCAAGATGGCATCTCCCTTTTCCATTGTGCTAGAGGCTAGAAAAACAGAAAGGTACAAAAAGAGTATCTGTATTAGATAAACAAAAACATTCCCAGAAGTCTCTAGCAGATCCATACCTTTATCACATTGCCTAAACTTTTGTTACATGGTCATTCCTGACTGAAACAGGGTCTGAGAAGGTGAGTATTTTACCTGGGATCATGGCCAATCTGAAGAAAAAGGAGATAGTGGAGTACAACAGCTCTTGGGTAGGAGATTAGGGGTGTCTAATGATGCATGGAATTAAAAACAGTATTTTTAAGCAAATTTTCAGAGTAATGCTGAGTATCAATAACTATTTATTATAATATTCTTGAGGGTTTTATTTTTTCAGTCATTTGTTAATAATGAAATAATATACATAAATATTTTATATACTTCATCCTACATTATACTAGTGAGAATGAGATCATTATAGGCCATTAATGGCTTTTGTTTACTAAAATATTTATATATATAAACGGTGGTTTTAGGGTTCATGTTATGACCAATACTAAATTCTAAATCACAGGATCTAAAATATGGTAATTTTTATTATCTGTTTCAAATAACATTTCCTTAATGCCCACATACTGATAGAATACTATGTCCTAAATGAGTTCTTTAAGTTAAATGTGGAACACTTATTTTTAAGAAACTCTCTTGTGCTTTTTAATCTTTGATAGACTTAATATCTAAAACTCAGTATTTGACAAATCACTTTTTAAGGTATTAAAAGTGTTACCCCTTTAAAAACAAAAATTTTTCTGCACTTATAAAAATATTTCTTAATTGCATTCTATCTCCCACTAAACTGTAAATCTTATGTCCTCTACATTCCTCAAAAACAGTGAATGTTGATAATCAAGATGGACAGATTTTTCAAGGACATTCAGGTGGCAGGGGAGGAAAAGAGAGAGTAAAGACAGGATATCTGTCCTAAAGTTCTGTCTAAGTGGTAATCAAAGGTAAACATAATACCTTTTTGTGAATGCAAATCTAATATTAATTCATATCTAAAGTAATATATTACAGATTTATATCTAATTTCAAATCCTCTGTGAACTCAATTAGAATTCATTCTGCCTCATCTTACACATATTGGATACATTTTTTCAAATCTAATTCTGGTCCTGTTGATTTGAGTTGATTTGTGTTTTATAAACAGTCACATGCAAGTATGATAGAGTGTCAAATATATCACATGACATATGGGGTTTAGATAAAATATGACTTTATCAATTATGAAAAACACATTTAGAATCTTACATATAAGCATTTTACCCTTATCTGCTTATAACTATAGAATTTAGAAAGAATATATAGAAATAAAATTGAGAGAATAACCACATAAGAAATTTTTAAAAATCAAGAAAACTGAAAAATGTGTTCCATTGATACATGCACATATATAGATAAATGTATATTTTTGGTACATTGTATATAGATGGATATATAGATGTATGATGATACTGTGAAGGAAACCAATTGACAAAATTAAATCATTAAGTAACTTTTTTTTTTCTCATAATGTTCCTTATAATATGCTCTATAGGGTAATTCTTTTCCTTCCCCTAGATAACATCGTGGTTGGTCCCCAAAGCTCTCTTAAATAATAAATTCTCCTGGTACTTTTGTCACTTAAAACTATTTCACTTCTGAAACTGATAGGTGTAGCTAAAGCAATAATAAAAACTTCAAGCTTCATTCAAAATTAAAGCTTCTGCACTCAGCTAATCAGCTATGCAACAGAAGGCAGGCTTGCAGTATAAAGTATGGCTTGGATAGATACTCTTTCTACTTTCCCAACTTGTCTTTCTACCTCTTCACAATTGTTAACTTGCACTGTTTCTGACGATTCTAGGGTTCAAGAGGGTGAAGGGAGGAGAGGTGAGGGCACAGGAACGCTGCTGCAAGGCTTGTATTTGTGAGCTGCCATCACTGCTCTCTGGTTTGGCAGGTGTCACAGCTGACCCTTCTCTTTTTCCCTGCCAGAGGGTTTCAGTTCCTTGGAGGGCTCTTCAGACCATTTACTCATCTCCCCACTCATTGGTAGGCATCTCTCTCCTGCACTTGACTGGGATTTGGGTCTCAGGAGTCCATATCTTCACAGACTCTCTCTGTTGGGATCCGACTGCCTTTAGGCAGCCCTTTTGAATAAAGTCACTTAAGATGACTCCAGGTTAGCTTTCAGCCACATATGTGTGGTTCACACCTTCCCCATGTATCTTTGGTCCATTTTCAGATATGAATTGTTACTTAAAAAATATTTCTATGCTGTTGTCACAACTTATACTTTTCAATGTATACAGATCTGTTTTAATTAATTAAATTAAAATGAAGTTTAAAGCATCACTGAGTCATAGTTAATTTGAAATCATGAATGCTGACCATTAAAAAAAAAACTATGATGTGTGGTGAACACATCTACTGATTGGTAGAACATTTCAGATTGTTAAGATAGGCCAACATCCTTCTCTTTCAGAAGAAAACACAAAGAATCAATTGAGCAAGTTGTCACTGAACAGGGGCAGAGCAGAGCAAAGCCTTATGTGATCTAGTGTGGGATCTAGTGTCAAACATATGTGGGTTTGAGTTCAATCTCCACAATGTATTAATCACACAAAGTTGACTGAGTTTAACAAGGCAGTAATGTCAGTTTCTTCATCTATAAAATGGGAATAATAGCTCTAGCAATTACGTTAAGATGATTAAATAAAAATACAATACATATAGTGTTTATCACATTGTAGCTCCTTAATAATTGTTAATCTTGCCTTCTAACACTGGTCAACTCATTGTGTCCTTTTTTTTCATTTGGAAACATGTTATTTTTTTTGTCTAAAGTTTTACATATGTCTCCTTTTACCCCCTGATTGGCCACCCCCCTCCCCCTGAGCCATTCCCACCCCTGGCAAGCCCCCACTGCCCCAGTGTCTGTGTCCATTGGTTATGCTAATATGCATGCATACAAGTCCTTTGCTTGCTCTCTAACCCTCCACCTCCCCTGCCATTTGTCTCTGGATCCATTTTTGTTCATCAAATTATGTTGATCATTATATACCACATATGAGTGAGATCATGTGATATTGTTGTGTCCTTTTTTATTATATCACAGCTGTGGCTTCTTCAGGTATTTACTTTCTTTTCTATTATTTCTGAAATAAAAATTACACATATATATGTGTAAATATGTTTCACATTATTTTCAGGTCACTAAATTATAACAATGCAATAGTGAGCAAGTGTGTATATGATGTGTTATAATAGGAATCTTTGTTTTATTATACCACATAAAACAAACTTTAAAATATCAAACTATATTTTTCTAGATAAAGTGAATGAACCAGTAAAAATAAGTCTCTACTTCTATTGAATTAATCTTTGGGATTAGTAAACCAAGTAGAGAAGCTCTGGTTTTCAATGTAATAGGGAAGAGACAAACCATTAGAAAAAAAGTCCTCTATGACATGCTGTGAGAAAACTCTATAAGAATTTGAATATATACTCATAGGGCTTTTGTAATGCAAATCCTGATTATTTTTATGTTCCTAACTTCTCATCTTTTTCAAACAACTTATCCATGTTGGTAGCCAAATGATAAGCCATTGCTAAATGAAATGGCTAGTATTGCCTCTGTAGCTACTGTATTTATCCAAAGAGAACACATTAGTATTGTTCCTAAGTAAATAGAGTCACTACTTCCTTGTTTTATTCCTTTCATAAATATGCATTCAAAATTCTGGGTGTAATGAGTGCTTAATATGCTTTCACCATGCTGTTAAAAGCATTGGGAAGGATTAGGAGAAGCTTTTGTCTCAACCTTATTTTTCTATTCTAACAGATCCAAACGCACTGCAAGGGTCTAATCCAGTGGTTCTCAATCTTCCTAATGCCGCGACCGTTTAATACAGTTCCTCATGTTGTGGTGACCCCCAATTTCATCGTTACAAATTGAACATAATTAAAGCATAGTGATTAATCACAAAAACAATATGTAATTATACATGTGTTTTCCGATGGCGACCCCTGTGAAAGGGTCTTTCGACCCCCAAAGGGGTCGCGACCCACAGGTTGAGAACCGCTGGTCTAGTCTATAACACCTAGATGAGTAGTTCTAGAAAATATCTTCTCCAATACCTAAGATTCTAAGACATATTATGTTTAACTATTAAATCTATTTAGTGTGCTTTGCTCCATATGAATATTATTACTTTGTAGGCCCACTTTATGTAGACAACAACTATTTTCCCTTTAAAAATGTTAATGTGTTGCTCATAATAAGCCAAGATTTATTTCTTCTTATATTCTTATTACATATAAGTATATTTGAAATATCTCTATATATTTCCTATCTCTGTCCACTGAAAGGGCTTATCAGTAATGGTCCACCAATAGCAATAAACAAGCCAAATTACTGTATCTTGGTTTCTAAATATACCATTCTTCCCTAAAAGGAACAGGGTTCCTTGGGGAGGAAAGACAAATTCCAGAGCTGGGGAAGAAAGAGAACAGGATAAATTTGGAATATATTTTAAATATATATCATGAAGCAAGGAAGTATTTACATAATCAGTAGGACATGTGAAAGGGACAAGTGAAGCATCTTGAAAGAGCCTCTGCAGAAAAAATCTAGGACAATAAGAAGATTAAAATAAAAATTATATATTAGTAGTAAATTTTAACCCATCGATTAAATAACAACCTAGGTTTCCCTACTGATTCAAAGTTTTAAAACAATATCTAGGATTAAATGTAAAGGCGTGTGCATTTATTCATTAGTTTAGTTCATTCAATATATTTGTATCATGCAGTTCTACCACCAATGACTTCAAGGACAAACTGTAGGGTAAGATCCTCTCCCTGACTACATACAGATAAGGCTTAGAACAAATACCAATTACTTACGCAATTATCCCCTTAGACACTGAGCAAATGCCAACATATTGGGAACTTTCTGGGGGGAAAAAGCTTCAAGTATGCATTTGCAATTCCACAACTTTACTTTAATGCTATATATCTGTCATATATTTAAGTATGGTGCTGTCATTGTTCCCTGATAGAAATGACCTTTGACTTGGCTCCAAAAGGTCCATATCCTCCTCCCATCTTTCTGGCTACATCTCTCATAATTTCTCCTGGCAGCTCCTCATTCAGCTATTCTGCTTTGGCCAGGCACTTAGGAGTTGGAAAAGCCCTCAGGTTCCAAGTTAAGAATAGTTAAGTTCTGTTAAATAAAAGGTAATGAATGTCTCAAATACCACTCTACTACTCTAACTTAAAAAGATAAACCACAGAAAACATGCTATGGAATCATGATTTTAATTAAGTAGTAACTTGTATTCAATGCTAACATATTTAAAAGTAGACTGAAAATCTATAATAAATAATGGTAATAGAAAAACTGAATTGTGAGCTGTATATAAAAATTACTCAATCTTTTCACAATGTTTTCATGGGTATAGTTTGCATTAAATATGAATTATCATATTTCAACATTTTATTTTTTCAAAATGAAACAACAATAGACTTTCTACTGATTACAGAATATAGCTATAATACAGAGTTAGTTTATGGCTACTAATTAAAATATGTCATAAAAACTCTTCTGAAGATAAATGTTATAATATACAAATATATTTTGTTATAACAACAAAAAGATATCCATTAATTTATTTATTTAACAATGATTTGAGTATCTACTATATACTACTACTATATAGTATATAGTACTACTATTCTGGTCCATATGTACCCAAGGATGAATTAATAATGTTTCTGTCCTAAAGAAACTCAGTAGTGATAAAAGCAGATATGTAAATTAGTAATTGCAAAGTAGTTTATCAAGTGCACAAGACAACAGTAGCACAAAGACAACAGTAGAAGAAGGGAAGGCTTCCTAAAAGAGGGAATGCTTGAGATGAAGTTTAAGAGATGAGTCACAGCTTCTATGTCTCTGGATCTATTTTTGTCCAGCAGTTTATGGTGTTCATTATATTCCACAAATGAGTGAGATCATGTGAGGGCATGTGCTGGGGAAAGGAGGGGGAGGAAACGGCCGGGGAGAGGTCAATGGGGGAAAAAGGAGACATATGTAATATTTTACATAATAAAGAATAATAAAAAAAAGACACATCTCTAAGGTTTTCCCAAGTTTCTTATTGAGATTTAGTCATCCCACCTTGATATTGTCAAAACACAATTTTTAAACCTCTTGCATTACAGCTATGTCTGTATCTAAACTGAGTTTCTTGAGGTTAAATGCAAACTCTCATTCATCTCTGTGTCTTTAGGGATCATCACTGGGTAATGGGCTCTCAAAAAAAAGGAAAAAAAGGGGAAAAAAAGAGATGAGTCACAGTTTATCAGTCAAGAACAAATGAATGAGAGACTATCAAACCAAAGAAACAGCATATCCACAGTCACAGAGGCATGGATTAGCCTGGTGAATGATGAGGAGTCAGGGGAGAACTAAATTTTAATCAGGGTCTAATTTGTTAAAGGCCTTACAGATCTATGGGGTAGTATAATTTGAATGCACAAATTAATGAAAGTGATAATTGCCTAGTCTATGACATGTCAAGTTTCATACCACGTCAGGACCTAGACACCTCCCTTCCTTCTACCTGAAAAGTCCTTCCTTCAGATTTTTACACAATTGAATATTGTTACTCATTTAAGTCCTGACTTAAAAATCACCTTGTGGGGCAAAAACATACAATGAGATAAATGATGTTGGGAAAATTGGGAAGATACATTCAAATAAGTGAAACTAGACCACCTTCTTACATCACATACAATGAATTCCTAGAAGAAAATATAAGCAGTAAAATCTCTGACATTTCTCTCAGTAATATTTCCTTCTGATATATCTCCTCAGGCAAGGGAAACAAAAGAAAAATAAACAAATGGGACTACATCAAACTAAGAAGTTTTTGTACAGCAAAGGAAATCACCAATAAAATGAAAAGACAACCTACTGAATGGGAGAAGATATTTGTCAATGATAGACCTAATAAGCAGCTAATTTCCAAAATTTCTAAGAACTTATTTTACTCAATACCAAAAAACCAACAATCCAATTAAAAAATGGGCAGAGTACCTGAATAGGCACTTCTTCAAAGAAAAGAAACAGAGGCCAACAGATATA